CCCACGCGCAAGTCACGGAACGTTTTTCTTTCTCATAAAGATCATTGTATCAGGGTTCGTTTGGGACACAACCCGGTGTCAGAAGTGTAATATATATACATATCCATTACAGCTCATACCCAAGTGTCGCGATCTTTCCTTTGGCCACTAAATTGATATCAATCTAGGTTAATTCTGCGATCCAGTTTAAGCCTGAACGGAGCAATGAACCCCAAAAATACTGACCGTGGTGAAAAGTCTAATTCTTGGCTTTTGAAGAAAATAGATTCCACTTCATGCAAATATGATATTGCTCAAACAATAAATCTTACTTCTCACGATGATAGCTGTTGGGTATATTTCGACCGGGATGTCCACGATCCGGAGAGTCCCGACGATCGGTACGTCTATCCCATGAATGTCGGCGATCTCGATCGCCACTTGATCGACTCCGATGCTGGTGATGTTTCCTGGGTGTGTCGGAGTTATCTGCATCACGAGAATTTGCCTCGTGAGAGTTCTGATGTAACTGATCTGTTTCTTCAGTGCTCTTAAGACGTTTCTTAACAGCACGATGATAGACATGTCGTAGCTCATCCGTAGACTTCTTTGAAAACAGTTGAACGAATTCCCACAAGTAGCTGCAACAAAGAAACATTCGAGATAAAGCAGACCGAGTTATCAACCGTTATAGACAAGCCACAACGAAAGAGAATCACGCTGATCTTCAGAACACCGAACCACAGCACACAACAGTCAGTAAACCAATCTATTTTAACTTTTCAAGACGAATTCGAACAACAACTAACTTTTTCCAGAAGTGCCGGGTATTCTTATCCGACACATCTCGAACGAGGTCGTGGATGTGATCGCCAATACGTAAAATGACCCTTGAAAACTGTTCAGTGTCTTCAGTTGATGAATCCTCTAAGCGTTCCAAATGCTTGAAATGTTTTTTAATGGGCAGAAGCTTCTCCTTGCACTGAAGGGGAAAAAATGCGGACATTCTTTAGAGTATTGCCAAGTACAACACTAATTACTTTCAAAATGACAAAAAACAATATTTTCAGTTAATTACAGTCTTGGTTGAATAAACACTTTGTTAAGAAGGAATATTTGGAAATGGAATTTACCTTGAGAAATAGTGCACCACGCATCTCCCGGAACTCCCGTTCTTCTTCTTTAGTGACGGAGACCGAATCGAAAGACGATGGGTTTGGAGTACTAACTTTTTGCGACTTTTCGCTTTGCTCAGACGGTCTGCCCTTCGCTTCTGATTTACTTTTGGTTCCTTCGATCTTTGGACGCTTTGCGGGTACAGTACTGGTTGTTTTTGGCCGATCTGATTCGTCCGAGTCGGAAGAGGAATCCTCCGTATCTACAAATTCAGCGGACTTCGGTTTGTTTATATTCGCGGAGGAGCTCGAATTCACTGGCACCCTTGTGGAACTCCGATGCTTCTTATGCCCGTGTCTGCCTTTGGAATCCACTGATCCAGGTGTGTTTTCAATTTGTTTCCGTTTTTTATTAATGGAACCACTGGGAGAATCTGGGTCCAATTTTTGCTGCGAATGCTTGGCAAGCATCCGTAACAAGTAATCCACGCGAGAACGAATATGACTAGCTTGAGGGCGTTCTGTTTGAGACACAGGTAACAGCTTGGAACCCAAGCCAAGATCAGCATCTAACTTGATTGCCTCCCAATTATCATAACCATGCTCATAGACGCCAGCAAGTAAACGGACATCATCAGACGTATCCCACGGGCAAGACCAAGCAACTAACTTGGGAAGAAATGGAAGCTCGAAAGCCATTCTGGCCTCCTTACCGCCACTTGGGAGGCACTGATGTAACGTTTCCAAGTATTGTAGGCTTTGTAAAAGAGGTTTTGCCGCAACAGACACACGACCATACTGAAAAACTGGACCCTTGCTCCCGGTTGACTTTTGTTCTTCATTTGCATTTGCAGCAGCTTCCATAGCGGCTTTGCAACCCCTCAGAACTGCATCCACCACTTCGCGTAATTCTCCCTCTGTTCGATCTGGAAGCTCCGCATCAGCAGCAATCGCATCTATTCGCTCAAGGGGGCGAGCAAAACGTTTGATTGCTCGCACCAATGCACGGATTTCTTTGTCTGAAAGCTGTGAAGTGGATTGTTTGCTTTCTACTTCATCATCGGATGAACTGCCTGAAGTGGGTAATGGATCCATACCAGCTTGGAAAGTTCTAACTTTCCTGCGCCTTCTCGGTCCAAGCTCAAGATCTACTAATGTTTTTTGCATTTCTTCAGCCTTGAGTTGTCCGCGAAGTTCACTTGGAATAATCTGATCCCAACCCTTTTGGTCTGCGTGATTAGTTTGGTTATCCTCTGGATCATCATCATGAGCATCTAGCGTAACCACCTTGAAAGACGAAAGAAGTATATTCGCCGGATTGGCCTCCGCTGTTGCTTCTGTATCACGAGTTTCTGCTCTGTTTAAAATGTCATCGATGTCTACCTCAAGGTCTGCTGCTTCTTCATCTGATTGTTTGAACAAACCCTCCGCGCCATAACGTAATATTTCTGTTAGTAACTGTCCTTTTGCGGTATCACCACGCTTTCCGCCCTTGCCCGCAGAATCCATCCGTTGAATGACTAAATGATCCAGAACCATCTTGCGGGTAGCACTCTCGATGATCTTCTCTTCAACTGACTCGCGCGTCACCAGCCGATAAACAGAAACCTGTTTCGTTTGTCCGATACGGTGGGCGCGTGCCTGTGCCTGCAGATCATTTTGCGGATTCCAGTCTGAATCAAATATAATAACGGTATCTGCAGTTGCCAGGTTAATACCCAATCCCCCGGCACGGGTGGAAAGTAAGAAGCAGAAATCTGTGGAGCCCTCCGCATTGAAGTGATCCAAAGCTTGTTTTCGTAGCGCACCGCGGATCGAACCATCAAGCCGCTGAAAACCCCAACCACGTATAGCAAGATAATCCGCTAGTAAATCCAACATTCGTACCATCTGGCTGAAAATAAGAACCCGATGTCCTTTGCTTTTCAAGCGTTGAAGCAGTTTATCGAGTAAAGTCATTTTTCCAGAGCCCCTTATGATGGCCCACATGTAGTCCTCACCGGACATTGCTGATTTATCTGCTTCCGATGGAGGTGCTATCAGATGAGCGTGATTACAACATTTCTTCAACTCCATGACAATGTTAATGAACGACGCACGATGGCCACGGGTCACTTTCATTAGGCCATCATAATTGCGGGCGAGGATTAACCTATAAATATTCGCTTGTTCCTTTGTCATATCAACGCGTAATATCTGCTCAATTTTTTCCGGTAATGAACTTTCGACATCTTTCTTCACTCGTCTGAGTAGAAAAGGTCGGAGGACTTTATGAAGGCCGTGGAATGCATCTACATCCACTCGGTAGGCGGGATCGTCAGCTGACACACTATACGTTTGCTCGAATTCATCCCACTCTGGAAAACGTTCAGGCATAATGAAGTGAAGAAGTGCCCAAAGTTCTTTCATAGTATTTTGAAGAGGAGTTCCTGTGATTAACAATCTTGTATTGGTATCAAATGTCTTGAGTGTTTTGTACAACTGACTCGCATCATTTTTTAAACGATGGGCCTCATCAACCCCCAAGAACGCCCATGAAACCTGACCAAGCCATGATTTATCCTTGAGCAATATCTCGTAAGTGGTAACACATACATTAAACTTCAGGGCTTGTGATCGACGAGAGGCGTTTGAGGCACTAACCGCCCACTCATGTTCTCGAATTAACTGTCGGGAAACGTGATCACCTGTATAGATTATTGTGTTCATATCCGGTGCCCAAGCCTGAAGTTCTTTTTGCCAACTGGACACCGTACTAAGGGGTACGACAATTAGGAACGGTCCGTGTAAATTATGGGCGTGGAACAAATAAGACAAAAAACCAATGGACTGAATTGTCTTGCCTAACCCCATTTCATCTGCAAGGATCACACTATTCTCTCGACACCATGCTCTGGCGATCCAATTAATTCCCTCAAGCTGATAATCACGAAGTATGAGATCATTCGTATTACCTAGATAACTGGGCTGCGTCACAAGGGGCTCGAAGTGAGGGCGTGTATGTAGCACGGCACATTTTTTATCAGGTATTTTCAGCGACCGACAGCGAGCCTCATAGCTTTCAACTGCTGGTAAGTAGAGGGCTCGGATAACCTTTCCGGACTCCCAAGAACAGAATCGATAATCCAACCGGAACCATTTGATGAGATAGTCAAACGTATTGCTCTCAGTATCGCGACTATGTGCAACGATCCGCTCTACATCCATTTTTTCAGCCAATATCTGCTCCCTGCGTTCTTCCTCATAAGCAACCGTTTCGAGATCATCGCGCTCAGCATAACGCATGCGTTCTTCTCTTTCGCGCAAGGCAGCCTGATAAGCATGCAGTTTTTTAAGGCCGAGTACTGGACAGCCGCGATCCGGACTGCGAAGAGATGTCTCAGTCTCCCATGTAGAATGGATGTGACTCCAATTTCGCCACTTTATGAGAAACTGCAATTCCCCAGGTTCCACTGCCGGATCGAAATCAGCATTCAGATCCTTTTCTAACTTCGTATTATACAGTGTTGTTGGATTTCCAGTAGCCCCCTTTCGACGTATGGCGTGAAGAAGTACCTCTTCAATGACATCTGCTTCGTCTTCACCCCAGTCCCTGTCTTTGTACATATCTTCAACCTCATCATCGTCAGAAGCCTGACTGTGCGTACCAATGTGATCTGCGGAGTCGGAATCCGTTCGCTGATCGAAGTTTTCTCTGAAAAGCAAGAAAAAACTGGATTATCGTAGACATAGCGATGATTGCGATCCACGCATAAAATGCCGCACCACAACGTTTGAGTGGTTAGATGCAGAAGCACCCGTACTGAGTGAGCACAAAGGAATGCGATGAGATGCGTGCGTCTCCAAATCAATGGAAAATCAAGTAGGATGAGGTGAGATGATTTGGGCGATAAGCGATGCAAGCATGCAAACAACACTCAGTTGTGAAACAAAGGGCACCGCTAACCTGAGTGTCACCTTAGACGAATAGGCCTTCCTGACCAGAGGACCCTTGGGTTTCTGGAAGGACGCCTGTTGACTGAAATAAAAATCAGCCTCGTAATGTGAAAAAAGATTCATATTCAAACATTAATTAAGATGGATTGAAAAATATGTATGTCATTTACCTGGTAGAATTGGATTGACCTCCGCGAAAGCTAACGGTATTGGTTTGTTCCGATGGTTCATCTGCAGAATCATCAAAGCTTTCATCGGCGAAGGCACTTTTGTAGCTTACGCGATTTCCTCTGGTCCTGACCGTACGGTTCTTGTACTGGATATCAAATGCAACGACAGTTCGTGGGTTTTAGTGGCGAAAACCTTGCAATGACTGTGTAAACATTAGAAAAGATGAAACTGCCAAGTTGGGGTGCGGTGATAAAGTTCAAACCTCAAAGGACATCAGTGACAACTTTAATAAGCACCAGCGACCAGGCAGCTGGAGAATGAACCGGATCAAAACTAATGCGTGGTCAGACTCAACGCAGGTGGTTCAATAGGACCTGCAATTTCGCACTGAACCACGCCAACGGTAGGTTACTGCCATGTGATCTTTGTTGTGTGAGCAGATTACCGAAACCGCTGCTTTTTTTAATGCTTCAGCTTATATTTCCAACACTGAATTGGCTTAGTCAAATATATGGGGTTTTCTCTTCGCACTCTTGTGCAAACGGCAGGAGAGGTAAACCACAGCCACGAGGGTATACTGCAATCTAAACCGAGTGGTGACCCAAGGCCAGAATCAAATAAACGGACAGCTAGGCTGTCTACCGACATACCTGCAGCGAGCAACTACAACACGAATAGTGAGACTTAATGATCACTGCGAAGTTAGCAAAACAAACTATCTAAACACAAAGGAGTGGATAAGAAAGAAAGCCACGTCACTGGAATAAAACCTATGGTCAAACAAAATATGGGATCTACCCCTATTTTAGTTGAGTTTTATGCAGTTCATCATTGAGTTCCAGGTTCTAGATCACCGGTTCCCGTAAACGAACAAGGAGTCTTTTCATTATGTGATACGTTCTTTTAACTAATTATCACGCTAGAGCAACAGAAGTTTCGCTGTGCATTCGCATATCACTAATAAGCCAGGCTCATTATAAAACAATAAGGCACCGTCACCGGCTTATCAATACCCTTTATTGTTTCAAGCTAAACAGTCGCGATATCGGCGGGACACTATTGATCTACATTCCAATACTGTCAACAAATAACCAACACAGAAATAAACGAGTTCGAAAAAAACGAATGAATGAAATCAAACGAAAATAAAAAATCACGTACGTTTCGTCTGCNGCCCCACCGATCATCATCATCATCGCTGTCTTGTGATTCGCTTTCCGTACCACTCTCCGAAACCCGTTTCCTCCTAGATTTTATACGACCTTCTGGTCCAGAATCCGGTGGTTTGAACCGAAATGGTTCGCGACGACATCGGCCAGATCTGCGGATGCCATAGAGCTCAGGGTAGTCTTCGAACTCTTCTCGGAGCTGTAAAAATTCCAACGTTGTGGGTTTTAAAATCTCACCGCCGCACTTCAGAGGCGGATTGTCTAATCACGAAAGTCGAAAACGTTATAACGAGCACCGTCAACCTCAACAGGATACTCTGAAGACAGGCGGATAACAAATCAACTACATAGAACCAAAATGAAGAAAATTAAGCCACTGCTAGGCCTCAGATATGTCAATGACATCGCAACTAGTCACTATTGGATCGCTCTTAAGCCTAACGGATTGTTACACCTGACCTTGGTTTATTGAAAACCTTCCACAAAAGTATTACAGATGCATGAGAATTGTTCCCTCTTATCTTTAAAATATCTCATTGAAATGATCAGTCAGAAAGATCGTGTGATGGCACACGTCGAAATTATTGGTCCTCGACTAACAAAAAATAAGGATACATATGGACCGCCAATATGATGCACGTGGAAGAAACCACACCAAATAAGAGATCAGCAGGTTGGATACCCGCGATCCATTGAGAAATCGGTAGAAACACCACAATCTACAAATTAAAGCTGCAATCGCACACTTATCACCTAGTAGTTTCGTAATAGGTTATTTATTTATTTATTTATTCGTAACGATTTATTTCATGGAGCCTATCCTATCGCTGCCGACTCACTTTGGCAATGAACTAAATTATCATTTCTAAACTACATCGTGCCAGTGTTGCAACTTTCAAAGGTCGAGTGTGAAAAGCCATACTTGATCGCGGTCACGAAAAATCGACCTAACGGATCGAGATAACTTTTGGTAGCACTCACCTCTCGTATATTCTGCTTGCGAGATCGGCCCTGTTCGAGCGGTCTCTGCGCACGAGAATCGCCCAATCGACCAGAAAACTCTGAGACACCTGATTGCGACGGAGAAGATGCATCACTCCTAAAATGTGGGATCAGAAGAACGAGAAACTCTCTAGAACAAAACCTTCAAGCGTTAAACGCATATATACGAACAGGATAAGTCTATAACTGTGTTGCCGTCACAGAGCTGATAAAAGTACACCAGCACTAATACCGTTTCAGTTTGCCTTTACAACTATTAAACATGCACTTTATAAACCGGGTTTCGGTTGCTGTCTTTTGACTGCCCATCCGGATAAAAGAGCGGAATGAAGACTAGAATATTGAAAGCAGAAACAAAGAGAAGATAGAGAATTCATATAGACTGTGGTTACAGGAATATGGAGTAGATGCACGAGCGCCATTGTTTGCGACACTCAGCCATATCACTAACTGCCGGTTACCATGACCCCGTCGTCCCTATCCAAGGACCCTAACGCTACCCGTGATCCAGTGTACTTGTTATGCTTTTTACACCCTCGTGCCGGTCTTAGCTGGACCGTCCTTAACCTTTTTCCACCCACTATCTACCTCGGAAAATCACACTGCGCCGTAGCAACCTATTTGGTCACATGCGCACTCATATGTCCCAATCACCGTAGTCTTTGGAGGTCGACCACTTGTTCCGCGATCACCTAAAACTCTCCGTCTAACTTCAGCATTGTTTGTCCGATTGCATCACGAGATTCGTGCAATGCAGCGTAGACAGGGACGATCTATTTTCGTCCCTGTACTGAAGTCTCCGCGCCGTAAAGCAGGAATGGTCTGCTGCATACACTCGACACTTCACTAACGGCCGGATGTAACTACATCGTAGTAGTAGTAGTAGTAGTAATTACATATTCCGTTCATCAGTCACGTATGATTTAATAAACACCAATCAGAGCAACGACGGCATCACCGTCTAAAATCTGAACCATTATCAATCTCCCACCCTATTGGAGCATTTTGAAGTTCGCCACTAATTCACGGCTTGGATTGCCGATTTCCGTGAATGAAAAGAATACATGCATTGGACAGCCGTTGACATGGATCGGATCATGCTGAGCTCAACTGATCGGAAACAGGAATAACCAGATCCCGCCACAAATATGGCTGGATTATACACGCGTGGAATTAAACCGATTGACATACAGAAGCCAACTTATGGGCGTGAAAGACCGTCGAAAGAACAATTACGACCATCTTGGACAGATGCGAAATGGGTTGTAATACGTGAGGTTGTTGGATGAATGAGACAACAAGATCCAGGAATGAGGGCGTGAACCACGTTAGGTCCAATCAAGTGAAGAATGAACTCCATTCGTTTATTTTGTGTACGAAACCATTGCTGTTGCTTCCTAAGTCAGCATCATCATCCGAGACCTCATCAACATCAGTGGCATCAGCTGAACCACTGAAATTATCTTTGGAGTCATCCTCAAGCGCTGCAGCAGCAACGTCCAAAGGATCATTGGTCTCTGAACACCCAACGGACAACACCGCCCGATTGAGCATCGTCACCATAGGTAACTACTGTTGGCACTACGCCGCACAAATATCAACTGCAGTGGTCTATCTATAATTCGTCCATAAATAATTCCCTGACCTGCGCGTCACTACACCTAATGCAAGCCTAGACTTAACGCTGAGGTGAACAGTTCAGTTCAGTTTCTACAACCATTAACCACGCATATTCGTGCGCCAGTTTTGGTTGCTGTCTTTTGGCTGCCCATTTGGATGAAGAATGGGAGAAAGAAGCCTCTGCATTACCTACCCTACCACAGAAAGATCAACGTACAGATTCAAGCTGCTTCATTTCAATAATCAAGCGGAGTATGGAACGAACTCGATCATAATCCCACTACAAAGCGCGATGCAGGAATGGCCGCCTGTTATAAATTGCTCTTTGCATATGAGCCGTTTTTCCTTCAATTTCACAACGGCATTGTCAGCAAGTTTCAGCATAATATGGTTGCTGATAGTCTACCGGACAGAATCAGTCCATAAATAAAACCTGTTATCAGCGCATGTCTTTTCTACGTAGGTCTGTTGGATTTATTCCCTCAGGATTGTATTGTATTGTATTGTATTGTATTCAAGCTTTAGCGAGTTATATATACAAGCCTTCAGCCAAAGGATAATCGAGGCATTACCGATCGCTCACAACAAACCCACACTGTGCGTCCAAAAGCGTGTGATCTTTACCCTTGGCCTTCCCTAGTTGTAACCAATCACATGCATCACACACGGTACGCGACCACACATGCAGATGGTTAATACTAACTAGATTTCTTAATTGGCTTCATTTATCTATCTTGTTCAATGTTATACGTACGCGACCGACGAGAGTATACGAAGGAATTCCTCTCGTAATGTTTGTCTTCTGACTTGCCTGTTCAGATTCATAACGGAATCCAACGTTCTAGTATTTCTTCAAGGATTGCCTCCTCCCCCATTCAGCCAGTCCAGTGTCACTTCTGATTTACCAAGTTACTTCAGCACGTCTACATTGAGTATGACCTACATATGTCCTCCATTACACCTGTAAACCTAGGTGCGGAGTCGATAAATTATCATTTCTACACGTTGTTGTGATGAGTAACTTTCTTCCCTGCGAACATCTGCCATATGCATGTAATGAAACCCTCCTCCAAGTGATACCACTGGCAAGTAGAGGAAGTGGTTCTAGTTTTAAGATTTGTGGCTGATTAATGAAACCTTAGATGTCGTCCTCCTTCGCCGACCGAACTAAACAGGGGACCTACTCAAATACACCTTAAGCAACACTGGATGTACCCGTGTAATTTGGGGTGGCTCACGTGCTTTCGCCAGGAGTGATTATGAAGACAAGTTAACCAAAGTTACCTTTACTTGAAATTCGGCAGGCGTGGGAGCCCCCATGCACGACAGACACGATGAAGTGGGAGTCAGATGCTACGCAACCGATTTCCACCGGGAATAAACACCGGCGGTTATGAATCCCCGCCCGTTAGGTCGAAGCATTGAATGTGAGTAATGAAATGTCAGCGAACAAATCCTATTGAACCTGGCTACATTTCGCCTCAATTTCCATTATTCCTCGATGGCTTTGCCAAAAGGGACCCGCGAAGCGGCAAACAAATCACTGGAAGACAACCACGCGACGACCGGCTTGTAACATGGATGTAGTCGCTGCGAAAGCGCAGCACCTACCTTTAATTGGGGGCCATCCGCATGTATGGGTTACAAACATGCATGCAATATACCGACTGCCCAGCGTGGCATTTTCACGAAGCTGCGAAATCAACCGCAGAACAGCCACCCCCAGGAGGATGTCTAAACATGATGAAAATCTGGGACAGATGTGTGGTGGGTACCGCCGAAACCCGGTTTCCGTATAGTAAATCTTACAAGTGCTGCCGGCAATTCGGATAACCCCGGTGACACGATCGAGAGTCCTGCAGCAACATACCTACAGAAAACCGAAATCCCAGTCCCCGGAGTAGGTTAGAGGCCAAGACATCATCGAGATGATTACTACCAAGTATCCTAACAGATCACATTGGACATGTCTAAGGACCCGTTGGGAATTGGAGTGCTCAGCAAAGCAAAACAGTCAAGAACTCACAACCTCCAGTCTTCAAAGGCGTACCTGGATGAATCGCTCAACGTCCTAATACGTGAAGAACGAGCATTGAGCTCATCCACCATAACTGCAAGAAAAAAGACGGGTGAGATAAGCCATCAACAGCTGTCGGATGCTATAACCAGGTGATTCACACTAGCTACTTAAAACCTAATCTTCCACTGGAAATATCACCATAAAGTCCAAAACAAGTCGTTCAACACTCCAAAAAACTAAATAAAACGAACTCTACATGCACACATATCTCAATTTTACAAGCACCCCCCTAAAACCTTCAAAAACAAGCGCTAAATGCCTACACTGACGAGAGCCACAACGCCACGCGCGCGTATGACACGCGAGCAAGCGTACGACTGACCTGAATGCAATGGCCGAACACCACATAAGCAAACCAAGATGGCCGTCACCAAACTCGTAAGCTGATTGGTCAGTTGCTGACAGACGGATAATAAAGACGAATTAAAAGAACGATTTTAATAAAATCGTGAGGAGTCTCATTTTCTCCACATTTTTACTAAATATTATTTGAGAATTGCTGTTTCCGAGTGAATTTATCTGTTTTTCGGTAGGTTCATCCACCTGCCTTGATGCATGACCAGTCCAGTGCAGTATGCACAGGACGATGTGTTTCCAGCCAATCGAGCGTCCGGATTGCTGTGTTATGATGACCTTTTGTAACCTCCTATACTGTATATAGTGTACTTTGTCTTCCGATAAGCCAGTTTAGGTCTTGACCTCTTGAAGCACTTTACGGGTTCGATGCTAGACACCATGGTCCAGGATCTTGGCTAGAATGAGCTTTCGATTGATAAGCAGTGCCCTGCATAGTTGAGGAGAACACAGCAAACCAGTTAGAGGAGGCTGAGATGAAGATTTTGATGTTGGAAGGCGAAACCTGAAAGGCAAGAAGGGAGAGGAGGGATGCGATATCTGCCTGCGGTGCAGAGCTATGCGCATCTCGATAGCAAGAACTAATGATCCACCATGATGTTTCGTTTACCGTGGTGAACTCAGTTCTCTCAATAGCTATTGAGCATTCGCAGCTCAGGTGTTTCTGTCAACGGACACATCAAAACCCATTGGTCTATGTTCTGCGTTAACTGCCAGGGTCAGAGACTACAACTCTTAATTTCTTGATATCTGCAAAAGACAGAACAAGTGGAAATAACATAACAACTATGCACTACTGCCCGGCATGCTATTGCATCCCTGTTTGACTCTAATAGTTGTAGTACGCACAGAGCACTAATTAAGAATCCCGTAATAGGAATCACAGAACCCGCTGGAATACAAAATCCCATTGACGACTGCAGGACGGTATCCCATGTGAACGAGTGTAGAAATTGTAATAATGGCAGTAGTAGTAGTACCACGCAATGAACACAGAATATAAATCACGGAGTACGAAGCAAGGAATACGAATCACTGCTTAGCATTCACGGACGTCACGTAAACACTAAACCGCACTGGCACCTGCACGTAATATCCCATGTAACCGAGACGCGAGAAAGAGACTACAGGAGTAGGTCAGTTCAGGTTGCACAGGACGGTAAAGGATTTCGCCTATCGAGCGTCCAGATTCTTGCTCCAGTCGGAAACACGGTCTTCCGATTTTTTCGTTTCGAACTGTCTTCCCTGGCGCGTCTGTACCTGCAAAGGGAGGTTATTCGAAAATGGGCAGCGTAGACACCTACTGTCAATAGCAGGTACCCCACAAGATCTCTGGATACAGCTTCGTCCAGAGCCCATCTAGTTGCCTTTTTAACTTGTCGACCGCCCTACAGTCTATTAGTGAAAATGGTAGCTGATTCCACTCATCTATCACTCTACTCGCGAAGAAGTTATACCTAGGGGCCTCAT